ATCCAAATTTGACATGTCATCAACTTAATTAAGAGATATGAAGTAATATAATTGAATTTGGAACATGTTAAAAATTAAGTTTAATTCTTGAATTTCATATGGATGATAGGATTTTGAGGTTTAAGAGGTGGTAAATGAGTATTAATGAGTTTAAGCATGTGTATGTAAGTTAGGAATATGTAAGGGGATGAAATATGAAACAATTGCACTAAATTGAGTGAATTTTTGGGTGAAAAAGTCTGTTCAGGAAAAGTGTACCGGTACTCTATGAACAGGTACCAATACACTAAGACCAATTTTAAAGAGCATCTTCATGGTGTATCGATACATTAAGGAGTGTATTGATACCCCCTTGAAACGAAAAGTTTCGAATGAAATTTGTGTATCGATACATAGGCAGTGTACCGATACACTAGTGAAGGTATATACCTATACCATATAGTGTGTACCGATACACTTATAAAGGAAAATGGAAATAAATATTTCTTTTAGTTTAAGAAATGAAATATAAGAGTACGTCAAGTGGAATGCTAATATGTATATTATACGTGTGATTGTGTAGATATCAATAGAGAGCAATGTCCGGACAAGGTGTCAAGTAATAACCATAAAAAAGAGATAAGGATTTGGTATTGACTAGTGAGGCTAGGTGAGTGCATCTTATTTTAATATAGGATTATATGGAAATTGGACTTGCGATAAGTCTATTTCCTATAATTATAGTGCATTAAGTCATGAATATAAGTATGTGAATTTCATGATTTGTGTGTATGCATGATTATATGTATTGATATGTTCTTGTATGTGATATATGATTTATGTAAAAATACTATTATGTGATACATGAAAATGTAATATAAACTGCGTATAAGTGATGAGTCGTGTAAGTATATGTCCATGAACAGAAATAAAAGAACAAAATATAAACCATATGATAATGAAATATTAGACTATGTGAATACATGTCTATAAGATAAATTATGTAATAATACGAGAATATGATAAAAGTGAATTTATGAGAAGCGATATGAACTAGGTAAGCATGTATAAAGGCTATAAGAATAATAGGAACATGAATTGGGTAAGTACATACTTATGTGATATTTAAATGAATTAGTAGAATAGAATTATACGATTTAATAAGAATTGAGATAAGCTAAATAACATTGACCTATAGGATAAAATGAGAATAGTATATTAATTAGGAAACTTGAACATAAGTGATGATACGAACATATAAGATAAGCTATAAGGGGAAGATTTATGTACTTGAATAAAATTATGACACATGGGTTATATTATAAAGATCTATGGAGCCATATGAGAAGGTTATAGGGACTATATGAAATTGAAATAAATAAATAGATTAAATTAGTATATAAATGAAATAATAAAAGTGATATATGTTTATAATTATGACATAGGTTACATGATTTAGGTGAATACAAGAGAATGGAGCATAAGCTATATGATATCATATAAGTTATTATATACATATATGATATATTTATTAAGTAATGTGAAATGACTTGAAAAGTTTATTTAAGTTATGCAAAAGTGATCTATGTGACTATATATATATGTGATACAAGCTATATGATATGTTATCTATATGACAATGAGCTACGAGGCTACACGAGAATGTTACATGATATGATATATGTGAAAAGAAGATATGAGATTACAAGTACAAGGATATGAGTATGTGATAATTTGTGTGATTATATGAATATGTAAATATGTGATAAATATAATGATAATGCCCATGTTATGTAAAATGAGAGCTAGGGGTATAGTTGGCATGCCAAGAGTCGAGGGCTAATAAGAGATAACCCTAAATATATAGCGTGTGAGTGTTTCACACGTAGGTTCCAAAAATTGATAAGAGAAGCTAAGAGGAGCAAGACAGAACAATATCTCCTTTACGAAGTTCAGATCATAAAAGAATTTTAATAATGTGTACCTTGTTATATTTAGTTGGCATGTACTAAGAGAATTGAGTTGAATATGCTATGATATGTTTTGTAAAACCAAATGATTTTTAATTAATTTAAAGTAGTCATTTTCTTGAGTTATGAACTTACACTTTAGCTATTTATAAAGAAAATCGTTTGAAAAGTTAAATGTGACACCTCGGACTCGTATTCGGGTCGGATACGGGCTGAGGGTGTTACAATATGCCAACTACAATCTATATAACAAAATACCTATACTCCACTACAATTTTGATCTGATATATGGAAAGGAGAATCTGACATGTATTGCTCCTCTTCTCTTCTCACTTTCGGGAATCTACGTGGGAAACACTCACAAGCTAAGTCTATGACTTAATGAGGCATATAAAATATATAAGGTAGCTATAACTCCTAACACTGAATGCATGATTTATACCATCATATCATACATCCTCATTTACGCTTTCATGTAATCATATATATATATATATATATATGCATATATTATCATGTCATATAGAATTGTCTATTATTCCATATTCATATAATCATTTATATTTACTCCACTAAGCTTATATCACATTCTCTTGTTATCCTTTAAACCATTTCTTTTATATAACTATTACTCATATAATTACTATTGCAGAGTCACATATCTTATCTCTTATTTCCATATACTCCTATTTACCATATAACTGATAGATTATTGTTACATATTCTATATCATATTCTAGTATATTAATTCCTTATATTTTATTAGTTCATTTTCCACATAATTTGCCACATAAACATATTATATAACTTATTAACTTAATTCCTATGATATTCTCATATGACTTCATTTCCTAGCTATTGGTACTGTGTTTTATATCCCCTAAGAATTTAACAAGTTTTAGATCACCATTTCATTGAAATATATAGAATTTCCTATACAACTTATTTCTGTACATATTTCCTATTTGATGTACTATTTATTTATCTCAATTATTTTATCTCAATTCTCATTTCCTAATATAATTCTATTATACTAGTTTACCTACAAATTATATTCTCACCATATAATCAAAATTATTCTATTCATATAATCTTATAGTTCACCACTTTATTACTTATACATATACTTATGGAGTTCACATCATTTCTCATGTAATTACTTGTAACATATCATATAAGTTCATTTTATTCTATTATATTCAAATATATCATACATATTTCACATAGAAACTATAACATATACAACACATGCAACCAACATACTCCTATCCAAATGCGCAACCACATATAACAATCACCTCAACTTCGTTATATTATATTTTTATTAGCCCATGTACATCTGTGAGAACTTAATGTATGCGAGTACTTTGAGATTGTGCACATATGCTGTTACCACAGCTCGTATAAGGGTACACTTAGTGGCATGTGAAATATGTCCCAAAGGACCTATGAATATGTCCCGAAGGACCTGTGTCTATATCTCGTAGGATCTATGAAACCCTCGACTCTTGGCATGCCAACTATACCTATAGCTCTCATATCACATAACATGGGTATTCTCTTTCATATCATTTCCCATATTCATATAGACATATGGTTCACTTTCACATATCACATATATTTTTCTTATTTCTATCTCATAGTTCTTTCACATAGCTCATTATCACTTTTTCATATCATATATCTTATAATAGATTCTTATATCATCACTTGTTTCCTTTGTACCCATTCACAATCACACTAACATGTACTTACATATATCATTTAACATATGCAATAATCAATAACACACATGTAACATGTCAAACATATGCTCATATCAATGAATTCATGCATTCTACTATAGAAAATAGACTTGTCACAAGTCTTTTTCTTTCCATTACACATCATATAACTAGTATGCATTTACCTGGCCTCACTAGTCAATGTCGCTTTCTTATCTTATCTCGATGCCTATTTCTTGTCGACTTGCCTGGACGTTGCTCTCGATCGATATCTACACAATCATGTATACATATCAACATTCTAAACTATAATTTAATCTTTAATTTCTTAAGATAGAAGAAAAAATTAATCCAATTTTTTTCTTGCAAGGGTATCGGTACCTCCCCTAGGTATCGATACCCATATTGAATTATGTAATCCTCGTTCAAAGATGATATTGATACCTTCCTTAAGGTATCAATACCCTGGGTATTGATACAGTTCTTCATGTATCGGTACCCTTTGAATGTCTTCCTAAATTTACTCTTGAGGTATCAGTACCTGATGAATGGGTACTGATACCCCTTACCCATAAATCACTTTCTATGCCCAAAAATCACTTCATTTCAGCTCAAATGCTTCGTATTTCATCCCCTTTTATATTCTTAACTTACATACACATGCTTAAACTCATTAATACTCACTTATCACATCTCTAACCTCAAAAATCCTATTCTCTACATGGAATTCAAGAATCATACCAATTTTTCCACTTGTTCTAAATTCAATTCTAACACTTCAAACTCCTTAATTCCACTAATGACAAGTCAAATTTGGTCTTGGAATCTAATTACTATCTTTCTATCAAGAGTTCATTTAAGAACCCTTCATCTTAAATCCTTTATATTCTCTTCATTTTATAGTTTTAAAGCAAATTAAGCTTTCCTTAAGCTTAATTTTCACCTAATGATCAAAACCAAAATTGAATTTCAACTAATTGTTAATTAATAATAAAACTCACCTTTATTTTGGGCCTTCACGTATGAAGAAGAGAGGAGAAGAAGAGAACTCTGAAAGCTATTTTTACCTTCCATCCATTTCCACGTGGCTCACTCCTTTAAAAAGGGAAAATAAAAATCTTTCCTTGCCAAATGACCATTTTACCCTTTACTTCATTTAATAATTTCCAACAATCCTTCACAAAATATTTCCAAATAAGTCCCAGAACTTTTCAATCTTCTTAATTCATGCTTCAAAGTTTCCACAAATTCTATTTTGGTCACTAACCTGGTTTTTGGGATGTTACAGTTTCTCTTTATATTGCTTGTAGACAAGAAGACAAACTTCGTACTGTCAAGGGTATGCATGCCATTAACTCCAAAATAAACATCTTTATTAGTGATTAATTATCACAATCATTGTTTAGAATCCCCTAATATCCTAAACCAGAGATATGCTCCGTCGCCACCGGAGCCACGAAGAAGGAAATTGGCCGTGTGAAAGAGTATATCGTGAAGCAATTGGAGGTGGAGATAGGCCAGTCCATGGAAATGGGCACAATACATGCCGGTGAATTTCTCGTATTTTTTCTCTACGTCGTTTATAAGTTTTGTAGATATATAATGGGTGGATCGGATTTATTGATTCGGGAGTGAATTATCAGAGACGTTTCTGCTCGCATCTTGGAATGAGTAATCAAACAGTCAAGGCTGCTCAAAAAGTTGTGCATAAATCTCAAGAGCTGGATATTATAACATATATTTGAAATCATATGAACTAGATTCAAACATAAGACATCCAAAAGATCTAATCTGAATCCTATCCATTATAACCTTATACAAATTTGGGTAACAGGAGAATCCCCATATCGATTGCAGCAGCTGTTATTTACATGATAACCCAGATCTCGGATGATAAGAAGCTTCTCAAAGATTAGAACAATTTGCAAACATATATATGCATGCATGTATGTATGCATGTATGTATGCATGATTCCTTTATTTAAGCTGTAGATATATCATTAGCAACAGAAGTGGCAGAAGGGACAATAAGAAATTCCTACAAAGACCTTCATCCCCATGCTTCTAAGCTGGTTCCAACCTGGTTTGTCAGACCAGAAGACATCAAGAATCTTTGCAGTCCTTAAAATCAAAATAATTTTAATTGCTTTTGTTGTTCCGGTTTTACCTCTAACTTGTATCGGCGAGTCGTTTGTTCGCGATATAATGTTGTTCGAATTTAGATTGTGTGATAGACATAGATATGTTCAGTTTTCTTAAGATAACAATTGTCGAATGAGGGTAGTGTAAGGAAAATGAAGAGTAGCTGAAACGAAGAAGTAGCATTTTTTACAAGGTATAGCCAGCGTTGGAATTAAAGTTGTTTATCATTTTTATCAATAATTTTTCATTTTCATCTATTTTAGCAATAGATTCTAGTTTAGTGTCAATGTAAACATCATATCGTTGAATTGTTAATTTTATGATTACGTGGTCATTTTTCTACATAATTTTAGTTTATATACCAATGTCACTAAACTCAAGTTTACATATTGATATGATGATTGTGGGTCAAATAGTTGTTATACATCAATCATCATTTGTGATTAGTTGTCGCTTATGAAAAACTTATTACTAAAATATTTGCATTTCACTCATCTTTCTTCTTATCAATTGATTTTCTATGAAACACACTCAAATATAATGAAAATTCGTTTAAATGTTCTAATGCTTTGATTTCCTCTAATGGTAATACGATGAAACTAGTTTTGAGTTATGTTATTCGCCTTCTCAAAAAAAGAATTTGACATTTGAACTTTCAAATAAACATCTCGAATACAGAAAAAATAATCAAACCAAACTAGAATTTTGAAGGATTATTCTCTTTGGCAAGTTTATAGTTGGGCTTGGTGTCGTAACCGTCTTTCGGGTGGGCCCGAAATTGGGCTTCGACTTAAATAAAATATGCAAGAGTCGCCACCAATCAGTTATATATATTTTTAAAAAACTAATTAGGTTGATCGGACACCTCAATTGACCCTCTTACCTGATCTGCATTTTACCATAAATATGTTAGGTTCGGGAGTCGGTTACAGTCAATGAAGGATTAGCACCCTCGTACTGTCCTTTCGGTACTAATTTAATTTCTCAGTTGTCTTAATTGCGAAAATTGAAAGTTAAATTGGAATTTAAAAAGTTTTTATTCGAACTACTTACCTTTGATCGATTAGAAGTACCCTTAAAAATAAAAAAAAAATATTAGATCGTGAAATAAAATATATAAATAATTCAAAAAAAGAAAAAAAGTTTTTACAAAATATAAAAACAAAAGGACTAAATTGAAACAAATTAAAGTTGAGGGACCTAATTAATACTAAAGATATGCTGTAAAGAAAAATAAGAGTTAGAGGGGTTAAATTGCAAAAAACATAAATTAAAAATAGTGATTAAATCGAATTAATTGAAAATTCAAAGGCAAAATTAATATAGGTGACCAAAATAAATTACACATCAAAATGATAGGGATTGCGGAAATAATTTAACTTTTTCATAATTACACAATGGGACCCCTATAAATAACACCCAAAACACAAAAAATATCATTCTACCCATTTCACGGAAAAAAAATTCTCACAACAAAAAAACTCTCAAACACTCTCCTCCAAAATCCCAACCGGCTAATGGTCGACCACTAACCAGCCACAACCCCACAGCTCCGGCCACCACCTCCGGTGGACGAAAAAGCCCAAACTTCACAAAAACGCTCCCTTCAATAACCTAAACCCAAATTCAAAACTTGAATCCTCTAAAAAATCCCAAACAACGTAGATCTAGGGTGAAAGTTGCGACTTTTACCTTTCCTGGTGAACCTTTTCAACTTCCGTCGATAGAGACCAACACTGCTTTTAGTCTTTACTTTGCTTTGCTTCGGTGTTTTTATTCTCTTTTCGTTGTATTTTTCTTCTGTATTTTCGTATGTTGCTAGGTTTTTTTGTGATTCAGTTACTTGATCAGTTTCTTCGCTATTGGTTGCTCCGATGATGGTTCTCTTGTGATTTTTGTAGTGGTGATGTTCGTTGGGTTTTTTTCTCTTATCCCTATGCTTTGGTGAGGCCCTTATTTTTAGCCTTCGAATGGGGGTTACTTCCCTTGAATCAGGTGTTGTAGTCCCGAATTTGACGTGATTTTGGGCGAGATCGATTCTCTCGGCATGTAGTTGCTGAAAAAATGGGGGAGGTTTTCCCCTCCGATCTGTTCGGATTTTGTTTTGATTTGATCTTCGAGCTCACCATTATTTTCTATTTTGGGCGCGTATTGCTCTCGTGCCGACGCATGGTCCTTATGCGCCATACTTGACTCTTGATATCTTGATCGTGCGGCGCTCTTGCTACATGTTAAACCCTAATAAACTTGGACTTTGAACTAGGTCTACTGGGTCAGGCTACCCAATTGGGCCCTAGACCTTTGGACCTTGAATTTAGACCTAACAAAAAAAAGTGAAATAAATAAATAATATAATATAAATAACTAACTAAAAATATATTTATTATACGTTTTCAAAGCCGTTTTTAAAACTATATATTATACATTTTTAAAATTATTTTAAAAACTTTATTATACATTTTTAAAATTATTTTAAAATACTATATACTATATACTATATGTTTTCAAAACCGCTTCAAATTATTTTAAAAACTATATACTATATGTTTTCAAAACCGTTTTTAAAAAACTATATAATATATGTTTTCAAAAATTGTTTTCAAAACTATATAATATGTGTTTTCAAAAATTGTTTTTCAAAACTATATAATATACGTTTTCAAAAATGTGTTTTCAAAATTATATAATATATGTTTTTAAATCGTATTTTCAAAACCATATTATATACATTTTCAAAAATCAATTTTTTTAAAAACTATATATTATATATTTTTAAAAATCATTTTCTAAAAACTATATGTTATACGTTTTTTCAAAAATATTTTCAAAAACTATATTATATTATTATTTATACTAAATAAGTCCTGAACGAAAATGGGTGTCTACAGCTACCCCTCTTTGTCCATTTTTCGTGTAAAGAAATATAGGAAAAAGATAAAAGGACACAGATTTTCGTTCGGTGCACATGGACTTGAAAAAAAGAGTGTTCCTGTGAGGGTTGTCGATTTCTGAGTTTAAAATATGCCTTAATGTTGTAGTCGAATCTTTTATCGACTATCCTCTACTGCAGAGTTGAGATTCAACTTAAAACATAGAGGAAGACTCTCTGTTGTTGAGCCGTATTGTGGGTGACTCCTTCGTCATAGAGTTGAGTCAATCTTGAGATGTCTTTAAACACGATATCCTTTGTCATGAAGTTGAAATCGTGGTTCAAAATCTGAACTGGAAAGTGGCTTCTTGTTGCCAAATCGTTTGGATTAAAGACCTCGGTTCAACCGAAAAATAGTTTCTCAATGCTACTATGCGGTCGATATGCCATCGAGCTGAATGGAATCAAACTAGAAAGTTTTTTTTTGACAGATAGCCCTCCTCGCGTTGAGCTATGTCGTAAATTTGGCTGAGAGATAGTTCCTTGTTACTAAATCGCAACCAACATAGGTATTCTTCTTGGCTTAAAGACCTTGGTTTAAAATTCAACTGGGAAGTAGTTCCTCGATGCTACAATGCGGTTGATACACCCTTGAGCTGAAAAAAATTGAACTCGATAGTTTTTGTTGACATACAACTTTTCTCGACTTAAGCTATGATGTGAAAAGTTCCTTTAAGTAAAGGATGGCTCCCCTTCACAGGTCTAATCCAGTCATAATTCTTTAGATGACTTCCTTTCACGGGAAAGCCAAGTGGTATATTCTTCAGGTGGTTCCCCTTCGCAGGTCTGAACTAGGTGAGATGATCTTTGGATGACTCCCCTTCACGGGAAAGTCATGTGAGATGTTCTTCGAGTGACTCCTCTTTGCGAGATAGCCAAGTGAGGTAGTCTTTCAGCCGGATATCATAGGTCATGGAGTTGAAATACAACTTGAAAACTTTTATTGGAAGCTAGCCACTCACCGTTGAGTTAAACTAAACTGAATTCATTTTGAACCGGCTCTCGAACCCGTCTGAATTTGCTCTCGAACCCAATTTAAGGTTGATTATAAGATTCACCGATCTTTCTATAGGTCAAGTTGGTTGCGGCGTAGCTCCTCGCCGTTGAGTTTAGCATCCACCATCATTTTTTTTAAAACACTTTTGAATCTAGTATCCCTCGTCGGGAAGTTGAAACTTGACTCTAAAGCTGCAGCAATTATGTATGCAAAAATGATAAATGTGATTCTCTTAAGTATGTCTAAGATGTATGCAAAATGAATTAGTTCTTGTTTTATTTCTTGGATGGAGTCTCATTCTTTGTATGCTGGTCTTATCCTTGGAATCGATCATGCCCCAGCACTGACGGCCTTATGGAAAATATCTGACATTTTCTCATTTGTTAGCTCAATCCAGTTATCTTTCTCTCTTGATTGTATGGATCATTTTTAATCCAAAGATTCTTAAACGTTCTTTTAGCCTTTATTTACTCGATGGAGTGAGACTATTTTGCATTTCGTTGAATGATCAACTACTGGAACAAGTTGAATCATCATCATAGTCGACACATCAATATCTAGTGAAAGGCTTCCTTACGTGGCTTGGAAGCTCAAATGGCAACTTCTTCAGCTAAGGCTACCTCTTCCAGTGTCCGTAAAATTATTTTGAT